ATCTTTTTTATCTCCAACATCATTTTCATTACTTTTATCTCGAATAATCTTTTCATTAACATTGTGATCATCAAAAGAAAAAAGCACATTTAAGCTTATATTATTTTTCCATCACAATAAATGAAAACAATCAATTCAAGTGAAAAATACAAAAAATATGACAAATTCTGAATATTACATTATCAACTGCATTCCAATTCAAACAAAGACAAAAATTATAGTATTACTTCATTACCATAAAATCGCCAAAACAAGATAAAATTTGGAGCACTTGAGTGAATCCCCAATTCCATTTCATAAGAAAATACAAAAGAAATTATCCAAAAAAAAAAAATAATTTCCTAAGACTTCAAAATTGATTTTTGAGAGGAAAAAAAAATCAATTTTAAGTTGGTGGGGTCAAGTGACCCACCAAGACCCACTGTGGGTCCTTCAGTGGATAAATCTCAATGTCGAAAAGGGTTTCGGTCAAGTTGGTTGGATAGAAGGTCGAGTTGACCCAAAGTAAATCCCATCAAGAATAAATGACGCTTTGAATTAAATCATATCCTCTTCTAATTAGAAAAAGAAAAGAACATTAATATTGCAGCGTAGCTTCTTTCTAACTTTGAAAAGCTTGCAATTATTAGTGTTATGTAAAATATGCTGATTACTACTTTATATGGGATAATTTGTATGAATTTCGAAGCCACAAAGAATTATTTAACTATTTGATCAAGACGAAATTATTTCAACAATCAAATTGGAGAGACAAAATGAAAAAAGCTTCGATTTTGAAAATTTTCAGAAATAAATGACACATCTTTAATTTTTAATTTTATGTTTACACTGTCTCATTGAAAATTTTTCTTGTCAGCCCGAGCCACCGAGTCAATACCGAAGAGACTCTCCAGCGGTGGGCATTGGTGATTGGGGTCGGAGCATAGTTGGGGTCCAAGTTGGGGGCAATGAGGGGACTATGAGATGGACGTGAGAAAGAGGAAGAAATGCGATGACTATGTCATCTCAAATCAGAACAAATTACATATTTGATTATAACGGCTTTTTAAACGAAAAATTAAGAAATAGGTAATCTATACCACGACTATCTCTGGAGAAACATTTTGGGAAAAACAAAGAAGAAAAATAATAATTTATTAAGTAATATGAGGATGGGGGCAATGAATTTAAGTGGAACACCCAGTTAAGTAGGGATTTCGAGTGCCGTTTGACATTGGATCTCCGTCGTAATTGGAAATTCACGTCCCATCCCAATATAGAGTTTCTACACGATACAATTTCCCCTAAAACTTTTTGGGTGACGATAGATGGGACTACTTATTCATTATGAACCAAGACTAAGAAGAAGGAAGAAAAGTAATAAAAAATTCGACTCATATCACTTATTCATTTTGAATCAAAACTAACCCTACAAAAAAAAAAAAAATAAAAAAAAAAAATAATAATAATAAAAACCCATGATCTCAATTAACTATTATTTGGCAGTTGGATCTTGGACCTTGAGCTTGTCTTTTAACCTTTCAATTTTGTTTCATCTGTGTTAGCTTTCATCAATGCCCCCTCAATTGTCCCCTCTATAGTCTCCTCGACGCTCTGTACCTGCGTTTACGAAGTAAATGTTACAACAAATCGAATAGAGTAATAAAAAAATAAAATAAAATAATCCAAATATCTCATATTTTTATTATTTAAGCCATGCTTTGTGTGCGATGACTCATCTCCATATGATTCTCACTTGGCATATCTAGATCAATCACTAGACTACCATTCAACGATTAACAAAACACAAAAGAAGCTTTTTTCTTAGGAAATTCGGGATGGCTATGTGAAACTTTTTTCATAATTCTATTTCATTTATTGCTATATTTACTCGATAATTCCAATAAACTAGATCTACATTAGGTCTTATAATTTCATCTATTCGTTTTTTGTAAGATATGATCTAGTGAGATCAGTCGACATTCCTAAGAATGATATTTTCTTTAAGTCTATGCAGGGTGTGTCTCAATTATATAAGTTATCTTTTCCTTGATTTATTTTTAAGCAATGCGACTGAGTGGTTGAATTAAATTCCTAGAATTTGTGCATTGTAACTAGCTCTATGATTGATTTGTAGGAATTTAGTTGTGAGTTCATTCCTCTCCTTTTATGCTGATAGGTAATTCTTAATGGAACAATAAACAAGAGTTTAAATGGAAGCAAAGGCCAAAGAGAGAGGTCTCCAAAGTGATAAAAAAAGAAAGAAAAAAAAAAAGGGATCATAATTTACTTAGATCGTCCTATTGGTTACCTTGTGAACAAGTTCTTCGGCTTGTTTAGCCTCCTTGACAGCTTTCTTGGCCAGATTCTCGACGGATTCTAAAGCTTCCTTGAGCTTTGAATCCTGTGGAAGCTTCTCCTCCACCTCTTCCACCACCTTCTCCACCTCCTCCGCCACCTCTTCCACTATCTCTGTTACTGTCTCCACCGTCTTCACAGCTGCGTCAATCTTACCTAAAATATTCAACAACTCTACATTAGTGCCATTAAAATTATAAGCAGTTGTTACAGACTCCAATAACAAAACCTTAATATATGCTTACTTTTAAGGCCTGCAAATAGCCCCCCTTTATGTCCCACTGCAGGAAGAATCACTGTTAGCAGCAGCCCCAACAACCACTTTTTCCTACATCAGAGACAAAAAGGAAGAATCGAATTTTTTTATCCAAACTAAAAATTCTCAAATTGCCTCCTTTAAAAGCTTATACAGTTATAGAGGAGAAAAATTTATTACTTTTGTCGAATTAACTTTTTCATCGAAGGTTAGAACATGGCGAAACTTGATTATAAGCCTACTCTGATATCATATTAATTTGTCTCGTTTAAAAGCTCAAAGATATTAAAGAGAGGACACGTATATAAGTTTAATATCGTCTTCAACAAAAAGATTACCATGAAGAGGAAGGAGAATGATCTCCAGAAGCTGAGGCTTTTAGTTGAAAATTTCTCCTTTGCACACATCTGTGACTTCAAGAAACCTTTTCACTTTCAGACAACAAACAAACAGCAACATAAAGAGGGTTTGTAAAGAAGAAGGCTTACTTATAAATTCCATATTTAGCTCCAAACTTGAAGAAATGATTAGGGTTCTTGATCTTGCATTGGCCCTTGACCATAGGGAGATTGAATGAACCCGAATATGGAAAATGCAAATATTGGCAATTTTTGCCACGGCTGCTGAAGAGGCAGATTGATGGTGAGCCAGTGACTTTGGTAGCCATTATTGAAGATCAGTTGAGAAACGGATTTCCTCTCCAATATTGAAGAAATAAAGGGGTTCAGTAAGAAGAATTCATAAAAATTGTCTAGAAGTATATGTATTGCCATGGTCCTGTGTAATTATTCATTGACAACGATATATGGAAATATTTTTATTTAAATTAGTTGCATAAAAGTTTAAGCTTACAAGGAAAATATAAATGTTTTATTTTAATTTAGTCTTCAATGTTAAGGAATTACAAAGAACACGCATGTACTCATTTAATTTAGTTTTCGATGCAATCCCACAAGTTAGTGTCGAATTCATAACCAAAAAACTCATTTATTTATTTAAAAATTTCTCTCATCATGTTCAATCAAGTCTTTGCACATTTCGTCTTAATGAAATTTCCAGCTTTCGAGTTAAAAAATAAGGTCTCTGCAGGTTTCTTGATTGAATAATGTATTAACAGATCAATGAATTAATTATTTCTTTATTTAATCCCAGTTTGTCATGTAGAATTGAATAAATAATACATATGGGGGACAAATTCTTTTATTAATCCCTTGTAGGGCGAATGCATTGTGAGATGAATAGGTATAGGAAAATAACAATAATAGTTATCTTCACTTTCTTATAAGAAAACAAAATCCCATGCTGAAAAAATCTTAGGGTCTGTTTTATAGTAATTATGAGAATTGATTTTTTGACTGTTAGAGAGAAAAATAGTGAGTCCCACCTGTAAGTGAACAAGTAAAAAATGACGGCTGAAATAATAAAATATCGATCAAAAAATTGCTTTTATGAGGGCAAAAAATTACTACCAAACATGGGCTTAATAAATCTTTCTCTTCTTTGGTAGCCACCGGTTATATAGAGCAGCCAATGCTCGGCTAAACTTAAATGTTTATTTAAATAATTTCATTTCGAAATAAATAATTTCCTAACAGTTGAAGTTGAAAATACATCAATCACAAAGGTAAAAGTTACAATAGTGGTTCGAAAAAAAGTTGATACTTCTAACTTAAAAGTAAATCAAATTGCATATAAAAAATGAATGGAAATAAAAATTTATTTCATATATTTTATTAATGCAAACATGCTTACTCGAAATCAACTACTTGTTCATGATATTTTGGTCCTCAACTTTTTCATTCTCCAAAATTTGAGTCCTCATTCCTCAATGATGAATTCGGATATTTTAGCCATTAACTTTTCAATTTTAGTACATTTGAGGGCATATTTTAATTTTTGAAGATGATTACGTTCTTTTAACTAAAATAAATAATAAAAAAAGAGAAATACAAAAAATTAAGAAAATTAAAAATATTTAACATTTCTTCTTTTTCTTAAAATACTTTGGGCGCAACGGAGGATGGGGATGGCGAGAAGACAATTAAGAAAATGAGTGACTTCCTTTTACTTTGTAGTTACTTAATTTTTATTGTCAAAATCATTAATTTTTATACATCTTAATCTTTGTTTGGTAACAAATATATAAATAATTTTATGAATATGAGTAATTAAAGGAATAGTAATGGATTCTGTTGACACGCTAAAAGTGCAGCCCAATTTGAATAGCCCAAAAAATGAAGCCCAACTGGGCAATTCAGGATGAATGCCCAAATAAAGTTATTAATGAATGCAGTGGAAACCCACAAACGCGATAATACCATCGCCCAAACTTACAAGACGCCCAAAATCTGAGCAAATGAAGTGTCTTGCAGTCGCTCAGAGTTATAACCCCGTTCTCGTCCAAACCTTCGAATCGCCCAGGATCTTAGCAAAAATAAGGTATTATGGTTATCCAAAAGTACAGTTATCGAAACAGTTATTGGGTAATCTTATCACGTTCCACGATTTAAGAAGTTCAATTGAAGACGGTTGAACGACAAAGAGTAGTGGCAGCATTTAGAGACGGCAGTTCCACGATAAGTTGGCCACCATGAAGAAAGTGGGCAGTTATAAAGCAATTGAGTAGTTTCTAAGCGGTTGATCACAAAGAGAGCATCAAGGGAATATAAAAGGGAGAAAAGACATAGAGCAAAGGACTCCGAATCAAACACTCTCAAACAGAGAATATGTAATTTCAATTTCTTAGTTTAGACTTAAAACATTTTTTTTCAGTACTCGTGTGCTTGCGTCCCTTGGAGGCATTTTTGTTTAAATTCCAATTGTAAAGTCATTGTCAATAAAACACCCTTTTTTGGGACTTTATCTCAAGAGGTTTGTCTCTTACACAATCGTTTGACCCCTTTTTAGTTGTTAGCGACTACCCGCGCGAAACAATTTGGTACGCCCAGTGGGACCTTGGTGTTTGGTGTTGAAGATACAAAAGGTGAAACAATATGCCTCAAAAATCTGATAAGGAAGCAACAAGTCAGGGAGGAGTCCAGTCTGTGATCGAGCGATATGAGGAGTAGCATAGCTCTCCACGAACAGATGG